TTTAAATGCTTAAAACAAAAAACTGTGAGTAAGGATTTTTAATATTTTTCATCTGTCTTTGAAACAATATATTAGGAGCCTTCTATTAAATGTTTAAGCTTTTATACCCAACAAATAAAATTTTATTGATACTTATAGAAAAAAAAACTAAAAAACATGGAAACTAAAAATGCCCGTAAAAAGCTCAAAATAACTCAAAATATTTAGAAAATTTTATCATGTATAGAAAATGGAAATATAAATAACCAGTGAAAATTTCATATATCTACGGTCATTTGTTTTAAAGTTACACCAAAAACCAAAATCAATTTTCTCGAAAATAGATTTTGCGTAAAAATTCCCGGTTTTCCTTAATTTTTCTTTTGTTTTTCACGGCGCTTTTGAAAACTACTGTGAAATTTTTGCTTTTGACCCCCCCAAAGTATCAACTAGATTCACTTTCCTATCAGAAAAGATATTGTTGAAGAAAATCCAAGCACTTTTACTGTCCTAAAAGATGATGACAGACAAAAAAAAAAAAAAATGAATTCGTGAATTCGTAAACAGTTGTCAATATTTGTAATGATAAGAAAAATTCCGAACCAATAAACCACGATAGTTTATAAATGATTGGTGAAATACTGAAATAAACTGAGGGTGCTAGTTTGAAGCTTGGGGGTGGTAAGCACCCCCAAGCACCCCCCTATGTGCGCCTATGTACACCTTATATGCTTGCCGTCGATAGCTCCAAGGCAGTTAGGAAAATTAGTTTTCAAATACAATTTATCAGCTATATCAAGCCACTCGTTTGAAGTTGGAGTAGCCATTTCTTGTGGTTGTAAGATGCTCCATATTATTTGACAAGTCTTCCGAACAATATTATTTATATTGTACTTCCGACTACGAGTAAAATTCATATTGCAATGAAACGAATGTGGTGCCAGTGGATAAATATCTAAATACGGGTATAATAGTAATAAATAAATAATAAGTAGGTGTCAAAAAAATGTTGTTTAATCCAACAATTAATTAATTATAAAATCAAACCTAAGAGTAACAATCGGCCTTTCTTCGGCGGAAATTGGAGTGCGAAATGTAGTGATTTGTTTTGTTAACGATTCTCGAAGTTTCATTAACAACTCGTCAAACGATGTTATACTCATTCGGTAGTACCTACTCAAAAAATTTCTCTGGGTACAGTGGCGTAATTGGAGAGGGGAAATGTTTGTGAAGGGAATGCAAAATTATACTTTTGCCCCCCCCCAAATAATCCACATTTAAAAAGTATTCTTAACAATACTGTTAACATAATAATATTATAATATTAAAATATTTTTTTCCTATAAAAGTTTATATTAATTATTATAGGTTTCTCTTGTTGAATAATATTATTGCAAACTACACAAAAATTATAAAAATATTTTTGAGTATACCAACAAATACTTCCTCATGTGAAAGAACATTTTATTGCTTAAAACGCTTAAAAAGTTACTTAAGAACCAGCATGGGACAAGAGCGTTTAAGCGGGTTAGCATTATTACAAATTCAAAGAGTAGTGCCAATTGATTTTGACAAAGTAATTGATGAATTTGTTTCAAATGGAGTAGGAGGTAACAGAAAACTAACACTAAAATAACAAAAAATACAATACCTATTATTTCATTTATTTGTTAATAAAGAAATAACATTATTTGTTGGTTATTTATTATTAATTTATTGTTCCCCAAACATGCGTATATAATATTTATACTACTTACCTACTTTTTAAACTACTTATAGCACCTTTTATTAATTACCTCTCTAGGTACTTAATAATATTTAACAATATGGGTACCTGTTACCTACAATTTGTTTCTAAACCATAACATGAGTTTTAAGACTAAATCAGGGTGGGGGTCAGGGTTTTGATTATGGTGAATATATGATATTGCCCCCTAGTTTTTTATCCAGTTACGCCACTGTCTGGGTACATCTTCATGTGGAGTAAAAATCAAAAAATCGACCACTATCTTCTCTGTCGACAATATATGGATGAATCCAAAATCTACGTTTACACCTGGGCGGGTTTAATAAGCCGAATGCTTCTGCCACAGCTATAACTTTCAAAGTGTGTTGGCGGTCCATACTTAAAAAGTTATATTTTCATTAAAATGTACATGCAATTTTACAACGCTTTATTAAAAAATTACTTACCTTAATATTTTATAATAATCACTGTAGGTACTTTAAAAAACCCATTTATTCCTTTTTTTGATGGGTAAAACCGTAGTAGTGTGACACTTGTATGTTTCAGACGGTTTGACGTCGACGGTTTAGCCGTGCGGCGTAACCGTCGTAGTGTGACACCACCCTTAGAAATGTAAATGTACAGTAGCATAATTGCTCATATATTTTTCATATTCAAGCAACTTACTGCTGCAGACTTAACAGCAGATTGTTAAATGTCAATAATATAATAATTAGCATTATTGATTTAATTAATTGTATTTAATCAAACCTTTAGAAACGAGACGAACTATTTCTAATACACTGTATTCTAAGAAAATATGTGTGGTTAAACATAATATTAAAATATTTATATGCGCAGTAATGCAGTAGGTATGTTTAATATTAACAAATACATTTTTGGCTAGTAATATATTTTGTCCTCCGCTTAGGAAACGTTTGCAGTACGGTTCTCTTTTGCACGAAAAAAATGCCAGGAGGCGTATTATTTTATTCAATATTAATTTTTTTCCAATATTAAATTCGACAAAACGTTCACACTGGGTACGCTTGATGAATAGATAATCCCCGGCGCTCTATTATTGTCGAATTGTTTCTGGTCTGTTGGACAGTCCGTTAATGTCGGATATTCCGTCCAAGATAAAGCTTTGGGCCGAAGGGAGAGGCCTACTGTGTCGGAGAAGTCAAAAAACACCTCGTGCACTGGGTCCCGCGAATATAATATGTATAAATGCGGTCCGTTTATAGAAAGGAAAACCGAAAAGGATATTTTTTCGACGCGAGACAAATAAACGGTAGGACGTCCAGGCGCGAAGGGGACGGAAAAAGTCCTGTGCCGTTTTTACGTAATGATGAGCACCTAATCAGGTGAAAACGCGACCTGAATGGGTCACCTGCTGGGTGGCTAAGTCAATGGACCGCTACTGCTGCAGTGCTGCTGCTGTCGCCAACGCCGGCACGGAAACCGGAAGTTGTGACGTTTCGGTTATTGCAAAATCCGACGCGTGTTTGAGAGGAAGTGAAAAAAACGTGTGTATAACGTACATAATAATATAATATCATGATGGAGTCCGGAAATAATAATAGAGTAATAGACTATAAGAGGGTAAACCGCTTATATAGGCTATTATTATGTTATATCGTTCACAATTTTACAAGGCACTTTATAATACACGTCGTAATATTAAATAGTTTAATTACAATTAATATAATTATATATTATATAATATACAGTATAGTTTAATAATATGATATACGAAACATTTTCTTCACACCATGGTATATGTGGTATATGGTTGACGTGACATAATATTAATTAATAATTTGTATAGACATATACTATGTCTATTGTTCGATTTATAACCGATGTGGGGATAAATCAATGTACATCTCAATTGAACTATCTAGTCACAAAAAAAAAAAGAATTATGTAGTAGGTACAGACATTTGTAAATATGTATTACTTGATAAAAAGGAAAGTTATGGTGCATATATTTATAGTACATAGTACATTATTTATAGCATACATTCAAATTGTAAATATTATTTGTTTTAGGTCATTAATTATTAAATAATATAATCTATGATTACTAATCATTATAGTCATATAAGTTTTCATTAAAATATAAAAGAAAAAGGTACTCTTGAATAATGTGGTGGTAAGGTCATATTGGAGTACCTCACAGAAGAGGTTATATTGATCTTTAGGGGGGCGACGGAGACCACCGGTCATCGTCTGTTTACCTGTGCCAAAATATCGTTCATCGTTTGCGCTTCAGTAGCCGATTTTCGTTTACACAATTTCTGTTTATACCTGTGCCAAAATATCGTACATTGTTGTTCACGAATCGACTTATAAAACAATTGAAGGGTGAAAAGTTTATATCACATATTAAAATAACATTTCGTTTCATATTTTTTAAAGACAATTGTTTTTTTTTTTCAAGTGCTGTTTGTCGCATTATTTAAAATATCATCTTGAGAACATGCTAAAAAAATATCAGTACTGGTTAGGCTAGGTCTTTTGAAGTCTAACTCGATCCAGACTTGCGGTCGTCGTTGCAGCACTGGGCGATACGACCGACGCGTTTCGGGGAATGCGAATACGATTCCACGTCGATCGTAAAATCTAACCGTGATGGATGGGCTTTTGAGCAAATAAGTTATGGACGTTGTGGAGGTGATTACGTCGATCGTCGTCGTCGCCGCTCCCGCAATATTCCGTCGGTTTTAGCTGACATGAGTGTCCCTGTCAGAGGTGACCCTCGGACGTGTGCCGTAACAATGCACTCGTCGTTGCAATGGCCTTGCAACCGTTCCTCATATTCCTCCACCACCTGCAGCTCTTGCTCATAATCCTCAAGTAGTCGTTTCACTCAAAGGACGTGATGCGGTGGTGGGGGCAGCGACTCAACCACTATGTTGCTTATAACTTATAAGTTATAACCTCTATGTTAGCATTTTCTGTACACGATAACAATTCTAAAATATTTTCAAACTTTTTGAGCTATTTACGGACTTTTGACTCTCGATTTTTTTTTTAAATTTATATAGAAAAAGGAGATCTTTACGCCGGTTACAAATAAAACAGTAAGTTTAGGTACACCTGTACAATATAGTCAAGATTTTCACAAGCCGCATAAATTAATTTTCCACTAGCGTGTTAACTCATTTATTAATAATAATATATCAATTAAAAACTTAGGTAACGTACTAAAACATTTATTTTCATTAATCATAATATAGGATTTTCAGTAGGTAAACAATCTTATAATAAATTTAGGTTTAACTTTTTTTTAAACTTTCGAACGGCTGCAATCCGATTCGGTTGTACCCGATTGAGCAGGGTCCTTTTTTTTTGGACTGGCACTTATATCAAGCGCAACAAAATAAACGTCGGACGAATCGCTTAGTCCGTTTCCACATCGAGTGGCGCTATAGGGTTCAATCGTAGTTGTTACCGGATCTGTCATCCCATCAAACCGGCGGATTACAGGCTCCTGCAGCAAACTCGCGTGCACTGCAGCTGCAACGTTTGCACTTGCAGCGGTTAAGTAATCGGTTGGTTTGAAACTCGGACGTCTCGATCGAAACTCCCGCCGGCACTCAATGCGTCTGCCGAAGTAAACAGCACCGGACATCGGACTAGAACGGCTTCTCTGTGCAGGATCCGCGGGATCGCGACTTGACTGCTGCACGTCCGCTTTAGCTGGCCGAATCTGCAGTGGCGTCTCAATCTTGACTTCGGTGACAACGGGCGGCGTCATTATTATAGCCGGTAGGCGGTGCATCGATCGGTACAGGTTCCTGCAGTCCGGTATCCGACATCGGATGCATCACCCGCAGAAGCCGCGGTCTGCACTGCGATGTTCGGCGTTGAACTGTATCGTGCCTGGTCACGACATAATAACCGCGACTAGCCATCACGATTTTGCAGGTTTGGCCAGTTCTTAGCTCGTCGAAAACTAGCGGTCAATCGCGATCGATACGACGGTGAGCGAATCTCGACTTCGCGGACGATGTATTCTGTACGGAAAGTGCAACGATGTTGGACATGATCATAGGTGTCTGATGTACAAGTTATATTAATATATACATTATAAGGAAATAGTGTTGTGACTTTTAGAATAGTATAATGAATTATTCGTATAATTTTAGTGATCGTTGTAACAAATAAAACACAAATAATATATAACACTGTGACACTATAATATAGGCTATATATAGCCAACCATAGCTAAAAGATTTTAAACACTTTTGTCTTGAAAATAAATACATTAGTTTATTAATTATTATTAAATGTTATTTTTTTGAAATTAAAAAAAAATATGTTTACACTCTATAACTCAGTTACCTTACATTTCTTAGTACGATAGTACGCGCTATATATATTTTAGAATTTTGTTTGCTTTGATTTGATTGATGATCTAATAGTCTAGTTTCATGTCCTGAAAACAGAAATCAAAATTATGTTTAGACTGTTCAGAGTACAACTGAGTAATATGAGTAATTTAATTATACAATGTCCCTATTTTCATGGACACACGGTATATACGAGCAGTATACATAATATACTTTAGACTGGTTACTGAATTAATCTTTACACAGATTTTACAGAAAATTTCATTACGAATTACGTACAGTTTAACACTATAGGTAACCTATATAATATTTAATATTTATTGGCTTATTGCATCGCTTCATATACGTTTTAACGGTTATAATAATATTATATAGCGCCAAGAAGTATTTCCATGCGCCAATAATAACTACGTTTTTCTAATAATCAGCTCTTATTAATTTGGAACGATCAATGGAGTATGGACAATTATTTAATTAATCGCATAATATATTATATACTCTATTATTGTCCCAATAGTACACCGTACACACACCTCATATGTATAGGTATTTTCAAACAATATATAATAATATAATAGCGCGTACCGTGTACATTATATATACCTATAATGACATATACATATATGTTCGAGTAGAATGTTAATAACGGTCTGTTAGCAAAACCGTTTAACCTTCCCCATACACAAAACAATGGCTGCAATACGCTTCACATCGAACACATACTTAAGTGCCAACAATGGGTAGGAGTTTCGTTAAATATAAAACGGGGAAAGAAAAAAAAAAAATAAAACCTATAAAGTATTGCTGCCGAGGAGAGAAATGCACAAAAGGTGATATCTGTAAAACATTATTGACGTTTAACAATGAATACACACACACACACACACACACACACCACTCCACACGCACGTACCGACTATATACCGTACACACATACATTTGTCCAGCAAAAGTGTTCAAAAGACTTGTGAGTGGTGTATGCGTGTGGATGTTTTTTTTCACTTCACTCTCCTTATATAACACGACGATGACTACGACGACTACTACGGCGGCGGCGGCGGCTACGACGAGTGTACGTCGGATAGAGGGTCCTATTGTCGCGTTATATATATTATTATAAATATATATATATGTCGGCGCAATATATAGGCACTCTCAACTCCCCGGCCGTATTGCTAAAAGTCAAGAAGGTCGTATACGCGTATAGTAGGTACCTATATAATATATACTGCTGCAGAACATCCCCTTCCCGGCCCACAATGACTCCTTGAAAATAATAATAATAGAAAAAAAATAAAAATATGTTTTCAAAGACAAAATTATTATTATTATTATAATAATGTATACACGCGCATGTATATATACCCTCATATTATTATATCGTCTGCGCTCTTTCTTCGCCGCGCAGCAGATATTTGAGTAATAGTCAATATATTATAATCGAGGGAATCACCGCACTGCCGAAAACAGATGTCCCCCCGCGTGCGTTGTAGAGTAGACTGTAAGACGCGACATCACACACACACGTATATAACAATAATATATAATAATATATTATAATATAATAATGCGCGTCCACGCAATAAATGGAAACGACTATATATATATATATAGTAATATAAATGAGTTTTTTTTTTTCATAAACGATAAACACCGCCCCGCGCGCTGGCATGTCAGCTGGTCAAGAGAACACGAGATATTATTCTATATACGTAGGTACTATATATCATAAGAATTTCGTATAATATACGATACCTATACCTATAATATAATACCAGGCCTACCCTCTATATATGCATGTGTGCAGAGTACATACCGAACGATATTCGATTTCGCGACTTATTGCTATTATTATAAGGGTGTCGGTAAATTCGCGGCACATCAAAAGATATAGATGTCTGGGAAATAAAAATAAAAACGTGTTCGAGGTACAAACAAGACGTGGTCGACGCGCGACAGCGATCCGCGTCGAATCGCGTGAACGACCTAACTACATAATATACGTATTATATTATAATATCGCAGTTAATATAGAGGTATAATACGTGTTCGACGTCATTTCCAAAGACAATATTTCAACACTCGTTTCGTATATTATTTCGTTCGATATTTTGAATATTAATATTTTATTCTTTGGGGCAGTGGCGTAGACATGATTTCTGAAAGGGGGGATAAAAAAAAAAAAAACGACAGCTAATGGGAGGGAAAAGTTGGAAAATCCCCCACCCTCTCAAAACTATTTACTAAGGTAATAAAAAGCCAATGGGGGGGATCTGACCCCCACGTCCCCCTTTGTCTACGCCGCTGCTTCGGGGTGATTATATATACTTTTAATATAGTTATAACGTATTTGACTGATTCGGAAGTATAATTGGTATTTGATGATATTTTTTTGCTCACTTAATTTTAAGTCATTAAAAAACAATACTTTTAAAAAAAGATATCATATATGTTTTGATCGTTGTCATATTTAAATTTTTGACATTATGGTCTTTTGGATGGCTACAAATTGACAACGTATATACATTTTTAATTTTGTATACCGATCAAAATATCTTTATAAGAATAATCTCGATGTATGAAAAATGAAAATCGAATTTAGAACGAATATAGGTTTCTATATCGACTATATCTTACATATCTACTAGGTAATTGGTTTTAACTTATAAGTTATACATTTTTAAAGCAAGCATAAATTTAGTATACTCAGTAGTCTCCGCTCATCTTAACTTTCTCATTACCTATAACAAATAAACTACTAGTTTGAAATTCAAAAACACTAAAATCCGGCTTTTTTTAAATTTTATTTTAAGATAATTGTTTAAAAAGTAACTTTGTAACGTGCTAACAAAGATTTTACCTAATCGTATATAGGTATTAACAATCGTGATTTTTCAAACAGATCGGTACGACGTGAAAATCGAGATTACGAGTGGCAACGAATAGTTAAATGTGAATAATAATTTTTTTCAGGTTAAAAGTCCACGTAGAAGATTAGAAACTGTACGACTGTCCTTTTTATTAAATTTAATTAAAACATATTCAAAGCTTGTTCAAAATAAAAAAATTTAAGTACACTGTACAGGTGCATTATTTTGAATGATTAGGGCATGAAAGCATTTTTTTAGGACATTACATTCCCATCCTGATGTATAATTACTATTATTGTTACTTTTATTTACTATTATATTTTATATATACCTATACTTAAATTTTAAATATTGTAGTTAGTAATTTTCAGGATAATGAGTGCTTAGATATACTGTTAAAAGAATCACTCAGCTTATACAAACCTACTTTAAAACTCATCGACCTTTACACTTATAGGAATCAGGGGCGCTCGCAAGGGAAGGAAGTGGGTGTCATTGCACCTAAGCTATTGAGGATAAAAAACAAAAAGTATTATAGCATACAACGATTGAACGATGTAAGGAAAACACTTTGTTCCCTACTTTTCTTTTGAATAAAAATAAAAAGCACCTGCTGTCCATAAAACGATTCAGTTGAAAGAACTTTCAGGTAATAATTTCTATATATTTGATGATAACTATTTTTGATATAAATTCAGTTATACCTTACACATTTTTAAAATTTTTTTTTTAAGGGGTAGTTTCTAATACCAAATTTAATGTAGTTGGTACTTATAGGAAGGTCAAGAGTAACAAATTCCTGGTACTATTTAAAATTATCGGGGAGAATAATATAGGCAAATATAAGAGTATTATGGATGTGCTAAATTTGAATTCAATGGTAAATTATTACATACGACAAAACGCTATATATTAATAGTATATATTATATTATTGCAAAGTTTATTTTCTTAAAAAATAGCTGATCCCGTGCACTTCGTTACCCGTTAAATGTACAAACTGTATATGACTCAAACTTTATTCAATGCGTTATTTAATATTCGGTGTATGATGTTGTAGATTTATCTTAACTTTTCTGTTTGCCCGGATTAAAAATTCTGATTCGCAGCAGTATATTATCAGGTAGGCAATCTACTCGCGGTAGATCGCGGACCTCGTGCTGTTCGTAAGTATAAGTGTATGATTTAAGTATCAAAGCTATACCAAGTTTGTCGTTTTTACTGAATTCCACCTACGGTGGATTAATATAATCAATTAATACAAAATCCTAACCTAACCTATAACCGTACTAAAATCCGATGAATAAAAAAAACTAAATTCAACCCTTTTTAAATTAGCCTAACTTCTTCCCAGAGGTCTAATATACACACAAACATTAATTTAAATATATATAACAAAAAGTTTATTTTACTCCGTGGCATTGTTGAATTATGTGTTTGTTATTCACATTGCCATTGCAGGTTACAAAAAAATATTATTATTATTTTTTAGCTTATTCATCACCACCACGTCATTTTCCTCTGACCCCATAACTTTTTCAATATTTTCTTTCATATTAT